GCACTGATATCATGTCGCTTTGACTTAGATTTTTAAGGGATTTAAGGCCCATAGTAAAAAGTGGTTGAAGGACATGAGCCCTTCCATTTGCAACAATGAATATGGTATTTACCCATGAGTAGATTAAACTGATCTAGATTAAACAAGATATCATTTAAATTGAAGTGAGGGACATCTTCAATCTTCAAGGAGATCCATTTATGGCTATCAAGCCAAAACTGTGAGAGCATTAGAGGAGCAGATGATCCAAAGTTTCCACCTACTTTCAAAGTTCAGCCTCCTCTGTAGAAAATGATTTACCCGTTATTATCTTAAAGTGCATTTCCTTCACCTTTTGGTGCTAATGAGGAGCTTCGATATCGGGACCATGCTTTGTCTCTCTGAACCGTATCAGTATTTGCCAGGGTCCATCCATTATCTATACCGCTCATCCTGAATAGGGTCACGAGGGGCTGGAGCCAATCCCAGCTGACACTGGGTGAGAGGCAGGGTCCACTCTGGACAGGTCGCCAGTCTGTCACAGGGCTCATATGTAGACAAACAACCGCACACACTCACTCCTACGGGAAGTTTAGAGTCACCAGTCAACCTAAGCTGCAGGTCTTTGGACTGTGGGAGGAAGCTGGAGTACCCGGAGAGAACCCACGCAGACTGCACAGAAAGGCCCCGGGTCGACCGGGGCTCGAACACGGGACCTTTCTGATGTGAGGTGACAGTGTTAACCGCCACATGTATTTGCTAGAGTGTAACAGAAATAGGAAATGCCATATAAATGGCTTTTCAAGGATGAATTAATAATTTTGTTATTGCATTGTTTGTCATTTATTTCCATTCCACACATTTTGAGTCCAGGCGAATGTTGATTTACAGTTGGTGGTAAGAACTGCAGTGGACGTTATGTGTCACTGCTTGTTATGTCGTCCCCACCTTTCACCCACAATGCACCGTGGTAAACACTTCGCCACATCATCATGTTTTAGTGTGAATATCATTGTCACCAACAGAGGGCGCTAGCCGTTTCCCCTGGTTCCAGGCTTTGTGCTAAGCTAGGCTAACTACGTCTGTCACTCTGGTTAGCTCCAAACAGAAATGCTTAGGCTTGTTGGTTTTATTTCTGTGGTTCTGAAGAACTTTAAATATAGTCTTTTAATCAAAGACTATATTTAAAGTTTTTGGGCGACAGCCTTGACCTTGAGCTGTCTCGCCTGTTTGAATGAACTGGAAACGTGAGAGCCCTGTTTCACTGCTGTTAACGTTGTGGGGCTTGTCTTCGTGTTGGCCTCCTCTAGGCCCGAGTCGGCCCGTTAGGCTGTTGAGCATCGGCCATCTGTGTGTGCCGGTTTCCAGGCAGCAGTTTGAGGCCCAGAGAATCAACCAAGTGTTTCCTTTGTGTTTCTGATTCACTGTGATGAAACTGTGGCTCTAATCGCAGGGACATTCTCCTCAGTCTGTCAAGTCGCTGCAGCACACTGACTACATCTCGGGTTGTTGGTGCACTTTACCATACGGGAATTATTAATCCAAACAGCACCTTGACCTGCCTGTTGCTGGCCTCACACACACATCAGACGCATTACAGAGCAACTCGTCTCTGCGCTTCTGCTGTCTGCAGAATGTAAAGCTTTTATTCCAGCAGGTTTGTCCAGGTCCACTGCTGCTCAGTTAACTGTGTCGCTGAGGCTTAGTAACGTTGCTGCCTTCACGTTACAGGTGGCTGGGCTTCATGGTTTGACCCCCTAAATAAACATTTAAAACAACTTGAATGAAGTCTTTGTTTGCTGTACTCACACCGAGATATTAGGGACGGTGTTCGAACTGGCATCTGCTTTATGGCTGAGTCAGCAAACCGTTTACCTCGACACTGCTCCGGTGTCGTTACTGTCCGATCAGCGCAACGCGCCGCTGCTACCCCGCCTTTTGTACTTGCAAACGTGTTACTAGCTCACTTTACTGAGGTCAACAGGCCTGTAACTGGCCAAGCTGCTAGTGAGTTTCAAGGAGACACCCCCTGCGGGACCACACAGCAAACTGCACCCTACAGCCTGTTGGCGCTCACTGACACAGCGTAGTACACTGATGGATTCGAACAGGTCACTACGGTTCGGTTTTTTTTGACCATGTTCCAACAAATGTTTGAAATTTGAATAAAAAGCCGTGGCCCTATGAGATATACTGAAGTTAATGTGTGATAAAGGTGCAACTGTAGGATATAATTGTTCATCGTCACTTAGGAGTTTAACCCATGAAGGGTCAAAGTTGACAAAATGCACATCAAGGCTTTGCAGAGCCAAAGACATGTCCTGTCGTGTCTGACATAAAGTCCAGAAGTATTTAGTTTATAGTGGTTTGTGACAAAGAAAATCAGGATCTTTCATCTGAGAAGCTGGAATCAGAGAATATTTGCAGTTTTTGCTTCACTTATGATTGAAACACTGAATGGGTCAGAAGTGATCTGCTGATTATTTTCTGATTAATTGTTCAGGTTGTAAAATGTCAGTGAAGTTCCTGTGGCAGTTTCCTAGAGCCTTCACACTGACGGGGCCTAAGGCCTTGTTTTGTCCCGACTAAGAAATTCAGCTCAGTGCCATATGAGCATGAAAAGCACCTCGTGTTCCTTATAGACATTTATAATTAGAGGCAGCTGAGACAAGACAAATGCTTAGTCAACCTTCTAGTTGTACCTGGGAGCTGGAAATAGAAGGAAGTGCTGACAGATGTGATGTTTTACTCAGCATCTCAACACTGAACAGACCTACTGTACAGTGGGACAGTGTAATGTAAAAATCCACAATAAAAAAAAAAAAAAACAGCTGGATTCCTTGTGAAGAGCTACTTCAAAAAGTAAAAAGATGGAAGGGGAAATAAGTAGAAGAGACTGCATCTCATGAGGTTTTTGTTTTATTAAGAAACCTGTTTCAAAGTTATTTGAACCAGTAATTCACAGTCTTCTCTTTATTGGGGGGTTCTAATGAAGGAAAGGACTAATGGAACAGTGTTTGTTTATTGAGCCTTACCAGACCCCATTGAAAAAGGAGAGAATTTAGCTCTGGTGTTGCTCTGCTGCCACTGAGCCTCAAAGCAGAAGAAGAGAAGCGTTAATACCCAGTGGAAGGGGAGGCCAGAGAACAACTGGCCAGGCTACTTGTGAGCTTGGTCCTTTATTCAGAAACTCGATTTTGGTGAGTGTTCATTCCTAACTTTGAAAACTTGGATGTGGTTAAAAACTAGTACAGACTGTAAGTGGACCTTGTGATTAATATTTTTTGCCCAACTCGACTCTTGTGGTTTGCTTAGGAACAATTTGATGTTTCCGCCAAGCGGCACATTTATGTTGTTTTCTACACACAGGAGGGAGCTGCCTACCGAAATGAGGCCCATCTCACCAAACCTCATTGAGAAAAGTGGACGTTTAACCACCGCACCGCCACACCCATACTTCTGTTTTTGTGAGGACAGTCATTGACATAATAGATTCCCTAGCTCCTTACCCTAACCTTAACCATCAGAACTAAATGCCAAACGCAACCCTAATTCTAGCCTGAACCCTCAAACCAAGTCTTAACCCTCAACGAGGTGTTTCAGAAGGTGACGACTTGCCAAAATGTCCTGCTATAGCAAAAACACCCCAAAACATTTTGGTCCTCACTATATAGCAAAGTACAAGAACACACACAGAAACAAAAGCTCTGGAGGTTTCCATGATGGTGCTGCCAGAGGGTGACACCTCCTGACCCTTGTTCTTTCACGGGTCAGGTCCTTGATTCACTGCCCCCCTCTGCTCTGTGTGTGAATAAGGACAAATGCAGAGCATTTATTTTAAAATGGGAATATAATAAGATGGTTGAAAGCTGTAGAGAACGTGAAGTGGAACTTAGGCTGTTAGTTTGAGCAGCGTCACAGTTCTTTGTCTTCTACTCACAAACTGAGGATTTAAATGTCACATAACTTTTATTTTGGCAACTGCCTCTTAACTTTGTCTGTTTCGTCACTGGATATTTTCTAATCCAAAGGTGATGTAGGGTTTTGTGCTAAAGCTTGTTTTAATGTGTGTTTAAGGAATGTGATGTAGATCTGTCCTCGTCTCCTGCAGCTCGTTTGTGAACCCATGAATAAACAGCGCATGATGGAGGGTGACATTAGCATTCAGTGTGTGCTGCCCTTGAGGCCTCTGCTTGCCACCGTGTCCATGGAAATACTCGAATCAGACATAATGAGCATCTCCTCCCACCGTCTCCTTTTATATCTGTTGCCATAGTGATGACACAGCAGCGATGAACTGAATGAATTTGTATGGATTTTTTATCTGAACCCCTGAGGATGATGTCTGGTGGTGGTTTTGCCTGATGGGCTGTTAGTGAGTCAGTTTGTAAACCAAATAGTTTCAGACTGTTTTTCTAAACAAAATGAAGAAACGTGTCTGAGCAGAGTTCACTTTTCTCTCCACAAACAAACCAACTTACAGTCGTGTTTCATTTCAGGACATAAGTCGAACAGTAACTGTAGACAAACCTCTGTCCAAATACCACCGCACTAATTAAACCAGATGGCAGCTCTGCCTTTATAAGGCCAGGAGGGGATCAGGCTTTAAAAGGCCTAGCATCAATCAGCTGTTACAGCGAGGGTCTGGGTGATTTTATTGTGAAGCTGTTTTTAACCCTCTCCATGTCAACCAGCCAAACCCATGTTAACCCTGGTTGTTGCTCTTTTTTTGTCCCACTCTCTCTGTGCTAAAGACACCACCTCTTCACTCTGGCAGCCACCGGTTCAGACTTTTAGCTGCCCAGAGCTCCTCCATGGTTGTTTGACATGACTACTGGCTGAAAAAAACCCTTCTTCTAACCTTGGCTAGGCGGCAGGCGGGGCTGATTTACAGACTGTACTTTGACATCACAGGGTGGAGAAGCTGGAATAACAACAGGAGGCTGTAGGCAGCAGAGGGTCATGGAGGGGGGTTGTAGCTGAGAGACACCATGTCCTGCCCCACTGTCACTGGGGTTAGCCGACACTATGGAGAATCTGAGTTAAGACACGTTAAAGACCTTGGTCTGAAGGTTCCACAAGGTAGGACCTGATTGAAAGCTTCCACAGTTGCTCATAAGGTCCCATGTTTCTGTCCCTACGTCCTGCCTCACCTGTCTGAGGTGTTTTGTGTGCACCTGTACAGAGCTACGCTCACAGACAGCACAGCCCAGTCTGTTTGTTGACAGAGGACTGAAGTATATTTTCTTTCCAAGGGCTATTGTTTATTTAGGCCAACTTGTGCAACAGTGTATATCCAGTGTGATAAAGAGGCTGAACAAAGGAGAAGTGTGTGTGTGTCTGCCCTCGGTCATTGTAACACATTTGTCCAAACATTCACAGTGACTTCACTTCAGGCCAATTTTCGTTAGCTCCTCCATTTATTAACAGGCATTTCCTGCCCCTACACGCTGATGTTATAACTCCCATCATGCCTCATGTTAGCATTATCTGCTGCTCGGCAGAGCAGGAGTGAAAGGAGGCAGGGCGAGCTGTTAGCACAACACCAGCACGTCCACATCCAGCAGCTCCAAGCCTGGAGATGATGCCAGGCTCCTTAAAGTTACAACAGTTTTTCACAACTATAACAGAGACTTTGTAGTTATGAGACTGTTTGTGTTGTTAGAGGAGGTGAAATTTTGGAATTGCAATAGTTTATCATTTAAGTTGTGGCACAACTACGAGGAAAACATTTTGCTACCAAAAGGTAATTTTGTAATCTGTAAAATGTCTTTTAAATAGACGTTTTCTCATCATCAGATCGCTCTTGTAAATATTCAGCAGTTACCAGGTGGTGACTTTCATACATAGGATAAGATGAACATTATTGATCCCTCACTGGGGAAATTCACTGGTTATAGCAGCTCCCACACAGAATAAATAAAATGTCTGACAGAAAAGTACTGCAGTAAAAATCTACCTACAGACACAAAAGCACTTCTGTCTGAGCTAAAAATCTGCTTCCAGTTTGTTGTAGATGTCCTGTATTTAATTTTCTTTAACTTGGTTTTTTATTTATTATTGGTTTTTAAGGACAGGAACCAGTCGACGACCAGGATCAGACTGTAAGCACATGAAGTCTGCCATTTGTAGTTGATCCTCGGATGGATCAGGCGCTCAGACAGGACATGCTTCCGGTTTCTTATTACAGTTTGTATCAGGAGCCAGGTTTGACCTCAGACAGGTGAAGCTCGGCCAAGAGCCAACGAGCTACTGTCAGATTTAATGAAGGAAGGGCAGATAGCATCAGACTCGGCTGAATAACAGGAAATCAGCTCACATGGCAGCTCGGTTTGGACAGTTCAGAATCACACAGCTCAAAATTGTCTCTAATTTAACCAAGTTGTTTCTCTCACTATGTAAATAACCAGTCTGAGATCAGGTGACTTCATCTCACACAGGGGTGACGCTGGCAGGATTCTATTGGATTGACTGAATAGTTTAGATGCAGCTGTCCTCCTGCTGTGAGACCACTGTCCTGTTGATTTGTGGTTTTGGGTGACGTCTCAGCAGATGGACTGTTGTGATAAGAAGTCAGGGGAATCATCAGTAGATAGTTTTCACTTAGTCGCACTTTGCTTAATAAACCAGGTTTAATTTGGCAGCTGCTGCCTTTTCCTCATGTTTCCTGATTTGTCTTGACTGTCAAAGATAAAAAGGACATGTTTGTCTTCTCCCCTAAGTGGTCCTCTGTCTCTGTGTCCCTCAGGGTGCGTGGGCGCTGCAGGCGTCACTGAACGATGACGGTCTGATCGTGGCGACCCTGGAGAGCACCGACCTGCAGGACAACGTCATGGCGTACGCTGCTCAGCTCTCCGGAGAACCCCGGCTGATCCTGGTTCCGTTTGTGAACACCAGCCAGCCTCTGCTCATCAACACGTCGTTTCATGGGCTCTGCTACAGTGTGGGGCTGCTGGTTAAACTGGGACAGACCTGGTCCAGAACCACAAAGGCTGTGCCTGTGCTCACAAGTGAGTCACTGTGAAGGGCGGGTATCCATCCGGAAAGGGGTCGTCTCTAACATGTAGTCTGTAAATGTGATTTTACAGCGGTGGACAGAACGGATGGTGCTGTGCAGGTTTCTTGAAGCACAGAACAAAATGTCTCTGATCAACACGAGCTTGTGTGCAGGCAGACCCAGTCAAACAGTGGGAGAAGCACTTTTTATGTGTGAGGCTTTGATGACATGGCAAAAGATTTAGTTTTAACTTCTATTAATTGTTAAGTTGTTTTTAATGGGAGTTTATGGGTAAAATTAGTGGATAATATGAAACTAGTTTTCATGAGATTATCTGCATAGTTTAGTCATTCCTTAACTTATTAGTTGATAAAATCATTTATTAGCTTCATTTTCAGATAAATCTTAATCCATTGATTGATCCATTAATAGCTAAGATCCAAGTCTGTGGTGTAATTTAAGGGTCTGTAAAGGGTTAAAAACCCTTTATATGTTGGCAAAGAGAGGAAACATCCCTGAGTTGATTAAAATGCATTTTAAGGTTTGGATTCAGCAGAGATTACTTTATTTAGTCAGATTTAGCTGTGCACATAATCTAAAATATTTTAAGGGATTCTTTTTTCATAGTGGTTTAAGGACTTTGTAACCTTTAGGGGCACCTTAAAATGTGCTGAAAACCCCATAATGTATTACAATGAATAAATAAACCTCTGAATTTGCACCTTCACTGAAAAGCAAAGGTTCTTTTCAGGTAGAATTGAAGAGGAACTGTAAAAATTAAAACCTTTTAATCGATGCAGAAAAACTCTGAGAAATCACTTCATGCGTTACACTGATCCATTCATGCCTTCACTCATGTCCCACAGACTTGTAAAGCCTGTAACCTTTCCACCAAGTTTTCATCTGTGAAGAGACCAAGGTTCAGGGTTAGAAAGTAAAACGGGTACAGTTTGGGCCAAAGCCAGGTTTGACACTGTTTGTCTTTGTGTGACCGGTGTCTCCCCTCAGAGCCACTCCCTGTGCACACTGTTCAGATCTCAGACTACAGAGAGGCTCCAGAGACCGGTGTGGTGTTTGAAATCGACGCTCCAGCCAGGAACGTCTTCAGCAGAGTGAACATCAGCTACACAGAGGGGCAGGAGCGGCGCTCCATGCTCTACAAAGGTACAGGTGCTGGCTCAGGAGCTCTGCTGGGAAACTGTGATAGGACTGATGTGGCTGTGTTCGGGACAGATGTCGCTTGTGGTGCTGTGCTTCAGTGCAGCTCATGTTTCATTTTGAAAGCAGGACTTTCACCTGGCAATGTTTCCACTGTGTTCTCGCTGCCCCGGCTTTTTAAGTAACCGCATAGACATCTGAATATGATTTTCTGCTTTCTGTTTGTAGATTTCTACAAGGGGAAGACGGTGTTTAAGCACTGGTTACCGGGTATCTGCTACCATAACATCACCTTCCAGCTGATCTCTGAGGCCACCGTGAACCAGACTGCGCTGGTTTCACGCAGTGACATCACACACTCACCTGTACACCACAGGACAGGTGAGGAGCCACAGTTTTCCCACTCGCAGTGTCTTTTGACATTTACCAAAATCCGTCTCATGTCTGTACATTAAATACACAGCTACAGTGGCAGCGGCGTAGCTTGGCATAAAGACTGGAAACATGGGAGCAGTGCCAACCTGACTCTGTCCAAAGGAACAAAGTCCACCTAGCAGCACCACTAAAGCTCACTAACAGGTTATATTTCACTTATTTAATGGGTTTTTGTACTGTAAGTTGCAGCTTTACCTTTTCTGAGTCCTGACTAAACGACATGTGGACACAGACATTAAACTTGTTGGTCTGACTCGGTGTGACGTCCACTTCCTGAGGAGCCCATCATCTCCGACGTCCCTTCATAACAAACCTCTATAGATCCACTTAGAAACCAGAGGAGCAGAGGCTGCAGAACCTGCCAGGGAATTCAGTGCCACAGTGATCAGTTGTGTGTACGTCCACGGGGACACTGCACACAGGAGCTGCTCGCTGCTCATTCTCCTGCTGTGACTACATGTACACAGCCAGAGCCAGAGTCTGAGCCCATAGCATAGCAGCATTATACTGTATGTCCACTTCCTGAACTTAAAACAGTAGAAGTAAGAGTGGAGCAGTTGTTGGTGGAGGGTTCGATGGTGTTTAGTCTGTACAAAAACCAGTGTGTGAAAACAAGAAGTCCCAGTTTTACATGGTGATGAGCCAGACGAATTCCTGGTGCAAGGGTCCGAGAAGCAGCAAAGGAGTCCTGAGTGCAGATTTCCTCAGTGCAGCCCCACCAAAAACAAAACTGTGAAATGTTCAGATTATCTCTTACTTGCCTAAATATTGATTCAACAGAATATCGTATTCAGCCTTCAGCGAGCTGCTATGCTCAGGCGCTCAACACCTGAGGTTCCCTGAACTATACCTGATGCTGGTAGCGGTGTGTTGGTCAGAGATTTGCTCCTGGTTCTGGTGCATGAAACGCCTCTTGTCAGTGGAGGACCGTGATAATAAGTGCAGCAGACTGGCGAGAGCTCACAGTCTGACTCCCCCCTCTCAGTGTCCTGCCGTGTCCCCTCTGCATTATTGATAGGATATAAATATCAGACATTTATTACTGTCATCACGTCTCTTCACTCTGATTAACGAGCTCAGCAAGGGAGCGGTGTTTCCGGAAACATCTCCCACTTCAGCATGAGGAGAGATTCATGAAGGACTAAAGCGTTTATTCACTTTCTACCAGAGCAGGAAACCGACTCAGCCATTTACTGAGAGTGTTTAATGTTGTAGCAGCACTCACAGAAACATGTTGTGTTACAACATCAAACCCATGTTAGCCTTTTATTCTCTCAGTTCAGGTCCTGGACCATGGTGCCAAACAGTACAACAAATACACCTGTTTAAGGGATTTGACGAAACACTTGTGGTTTGATCTCTTATTGAGATTTGTTCTGTTCATTTATCTGCACAAGAAACACAATTGAATAAGTGTTACATTTGAAAATGTTTTAGCTCTGAAAAACACTTGATCCTTAGTCTATGAATGTTCTTCAGCTTCCATTAAAATACCTTTATTTCATAGCAGTTACTTTTTTGATTTCAAGTAAAAAGTTAAGGGACCTGGGGCTGAACGTCTGAGCCTGCAGGTTTTATGTCGAGGGAACACGTCAGTGCAACACGTGTGCCTTGATCTTTGTGATGCTGCTAATCCATCTTTCTCCCACGGTGTGAATTTATCTCACCTCAGTTTGTTTCTGCTCTGCTTCTTCTTCACAGTGCCCCACCCCCCCCTCAACATTTCTCATAAGATTATCCACCTGAGCCCCAGAGTGGGTCCAGGTGAGGCCCCCAACGTGGTCCCTTCTGAGGGTGGCCGCGAGGGCCTGGGAGGCGAGGGCCTGGGAGGCGAGGGCCTGGGAGGCTCCCGCCGAGCCCGGAACATTCTGCTGATGGAGGAGCGGGAGGCGGAGGAGACTCACTCAGTGGAGGAGAAGCCCTCAGATAAGGTGGCAGGAGCTGCTGCTCAGATCCCCTCTAGCTCAGCACAGAACCTGACAGGAACCCCCACCACCAACCTGATCACCAACCAGTCGACGGAGGCCGAGACTCACACCTACTGGCTGAAACCGACCGATTTGCCTCCTGCCCACAGGGCAGAGGAGTTCGTTAACGCTGTGGTGCCCGAGTACGAAGACTCCAACGAGACTGGCTCAGCCATGGGTCTCCCCTCTGAGGCCTCGGTCCAGCCCACCAAACCGCCCCCCGTCCTGCTGGAGCTGCGCTGGCTACCACCCAGACCCCCCACCGGCTACGACGGCTTCAACATCTACATCTACAAAGATGGTAAAGAGGAGGAATAGATTGCTGTCCTGCTTTTAATACAGAGTTAACAGTGTGCTCTCCAAGATTGAGATGAGACAGCACAGTAAACAACTTGTAACTGGTTGTTCAGTCCACTGATGGAGGGTTTCTGGGAGACTGGGATGATGGTGGAGCGATTGAAGCAGGAGGGGAAGTCACACAGTACCAGTGACCTGTTGAAGTGTCAAGATGGGGGCCAGCTGATCAGCGCAGGCTTTCAGGCCAATCAGCTGGACCTTTGTTTTTTTAAAAGGCTGCACATCCTTTTCACAGATCTTCAGGGCTGGGGGGAAGGGAGGTGCGGATTGGGGGGGGGGCACATACATTTGACATCAAATTACAG